GCTTATTTAATCAGCGTTGCCAAGTTTGACAGCGCCAGAAGTTTTCTGTGAGCGCCAGTTCTGACACTTTCTGACACATGTCAATTTCTTATTTGTATTTTACGGAAAATATTATTATTTATAACGTTGTAAAGGTTGTAAATGTATATTTAAGATTTATTATCTCTAATAATATGGTGAAAACATGCTTTATGTGTAAAAGGCCTGTTGAAAATGCTTCTTCAAGATAATATCATAAGTAAGTACAGACACAACCTAATTATCAGAGGCGGTGCATTAGGCAATCACCTTTAATTTGCAATTAAACTTCTTTATTTTCTTATCGAAAAATTAAAATTAAGAGCAAGTACACTCCAGCTACGTTCGTCTTCATCCGTCTCATAATGATTATAGTAAAGGTTAATTACTTATTATTATTTTAATATCACATCTTTGTAAAGTTTATTGTTATTTTTTTAGGTTTCCTTTTCTTGATATGAGAAAGAAATACATGGTTCCAAAATATAGGAATTCAACAAGTGACCACCGGAATAACTTTTTATGCTAATGCATTTTTATTACAGATCTCAGGGAAGGAAAATATTAAAGAAAAATGCAATTTCGACAAAAGAAGTATAATAATCAATCCTGTCACTACTTCTACACTATATTCATCTGCTACTAAAATACTAAACAGCAAGTAGAGAAACTTAAGTTTCTTTCAAAAAGAATGTTTAAGGAAAAAGGCATAGCTATTTTTTTGTTGACACTTTTTTTTAACTAATCTAAAAGACTAATTTTGTGTATTGTTTAAATGCTCATTTTTTGTACTTAATTTGTTTTAGGTTTAAACTAAATGAACTTCTACGATATGCATGGAATATCCCAAAAGAGCTAAGGAAGGTTTTAAAATTCTTAAGAAAAGTATTCAGAGCCAAAAACATAAAATAGTCTTCCTGTCCAAAATATAAATAGGTATAAATATTTAGATATTATGAGTGATTTTTTATTCTATAAATAGAAAATAATTTGCTTCTAAATCACTACTTAATTAACTATATTATATAGTACAAAACTAAACAAGAATATCACATTATTCATGTTTTTTTTAATTTCCTTAAAAAACGTCCCAAAAAAATGTGAATATTTATTATTGGAGTTAACATCGTTATGCTAAAACAGTACTAGAACAACTTAAATAATGTGGATTTTGACTATTTTGAGTTATGCAGATCATTATGATCTAAAATAATGTTTGTCTGGGTGCTATAGTCAGGTATAAAAACATTCATTTATTTAAACACAGTTGCAATATACATTTTATTTAGTTTTAAGTTAAAACCTATTAGGACATCCTAAAATTACTTTTTTCGTTTGATGTGAGATTAATTATTCTACATTTTTGTTGGTGAAATAGGATATATTAAGATGTCTTACTGTTTTCTCTGATTATCTAAAAAGTTAGAACAATATACAAAGACTGTTATAACAAAAAAGAGATATACCTTTACTGAAACACACAATTAGTCAGTTCAATTGTACGATAATTTAAAGCAGAAATCCAGAAAACTTTAAAAATGTGTTTAAATGTGTTTTTACTATAACAAGGACATAATTATTAAAAAAACTTGGCACATTAACATTGACGATGGGTTTTAATAATATATATTATACAAATCACAACGAACTACACAAAATGACATTATTAATAATTTAGTAATAAAAAAGTTAAGTACCTACAATGATGACATTAAAAGTTGAGTTTCTCGAAATACTTTTTTTAAATTGTCTCAGTAACTACCTAGTATTTTTCTAGCACAATGATATTATATGAATGTGCATTGTGTGATATCTTATATTTTAGGAATACAATTATATATTTTTTTGCAGGTTTCTGTTAACAACGATTCCAAGAACTTTTGAAAATATTAAAACGGCATTTGCAAATATAATTCTCAATTAAGAGCTTTTGATCTAACATTAAATTTTTATTCTCCATAAGGTTATAGCTTCATAAGAAGAAAGTTTATCAAGACTTACCAGACTCAAAATATCAAAATTTTACTAACCAATTGATGGTTCTACTGGTTTCCATAGGAATTTTCTCCTCGAAACTACTAAAAGAAAAGTGGCAGAGGCAACCGAAGAAGGCAAAAAAGTCTTTTGCAAAACAAAAACTAGAAATTTGTTTAAGAATCTATTGTTTGAAGTTTTACCATTAATAATTTTTGATAACGATTTAAGATTATAAAGTTTTATTATGAATTTTACTCTTTGATAACCTATGTTTAAATTTTTATTAGGACCAAAATAAATTATAATTTTCACTTCAACTACAAAAACCCTCATAATATTAAAAAGGGGAAAAACGTTAGATCAGTTATGTTCAGGAATAAACTCTTTAAACATTTATCTACTTAAAATGTGTTACTTTTAGAAGGTATGTTATTAACTTTCTATTTGTACGTGTATTAATTTATTTCATTTTATTATCTGTTGTATTTTCAAATTGATTTTGATATTAATCTTATCTATTTATATATTTTTTATACTCACATATATGTTTTTTTCATTAAAACAAACGTTTATTAGCTTATTAAATATAATAAATTCATGTTGTTTTATTATATGCTTGTATGAATGATTACTTTTATTTCCTTTTAAAAATGAATTTCGAAGATAAAGCCGAAACGATGAGTGAGAATAAAAATTAGACGAAAGTGACGATATATACTGGAGCTTTCATCTACACGCTCCTTTTTCTAGCCATCTACACCTGAGCCAGCAAGATTCGTCTTCCCTCCATCCTTAAATTCTCCAGATTTACAAAGAAAACGCCGTCCTCTTTAACATATCCAGACCTTCTTTGATGGGGACTATACCACTACATTATCAGCTTTATTTGTCATCCCGAGCAATTTAAATGCATTCGTAATTGCTCATTCTCACCTCTTCTCTTGTAGATTCCGTACTCAGTTTTCTTATTTTTAGTTACGTTTGCACTGCTCTTTTATTTTCACCGCTTTAATTCTATAATGCTGTTACGCTACAATATTGATCCATTTATGTGGTTTATACTATTTAATGTTATTCGTAAGTGACCAACCTATTATAATAATTAAAGATTATTGTATTACAGGCCTGAAGATGTTCCTGTAAGGCCGAAACTAGTCGCTCTTGTATTTATAATAAAATTTATTTTAAGGTTTTATTCTTCAATTGAAAAAATTAGACCTTTACAGTGATTTTGTTTCTTTTTCTGCATTAGACATATATATGACGGTATTCATTTTAAAAATAGTAAAATTAGCAAATTTTTTATTTTTTTTTTTACAATTAAAACGTTTGGACAATGTGTGTTTTTATAGATAAATGATACGCCACTGAACAAGAAGGATGTTTACCTTCCCCCTTGTGCCCGCTTCCTCACTTCCTCTACAGATGTTGCTAACACAACAATCGCCTACAAACTCGTTTTCACGCTCCCTCTATTAGTAATTGCTCGGAGTTCCAAACTACCAGTGGGTTTTGACAGGTTATGATATGGCAAAATTATGGCAACCCTGTAGGCCTGGTGATTTGACAAGGTCAATGAAATAGTTAGTTACATAGATTGATCATCCATATTTTTCAAAATAAACATAAGCTTATGCCTTGAAGTAAAAATGTAAGCAATTATGTTTTTTAAATATCTAAAGGATGAAAATTGGTTTTAAAAAACATTTTTGCTAAACCGATTCAAATTAATAAATATTTGCCAAGCAATATGGCCGCTCGCAAACGGCCAGCATTGACCAATCTATATAACTATATATCTATCACTGACCCTGTTAATGACAACAGGGTTGCCATATCTAAACTGTCAGTCCCCACTGGTAGCCATTTGGACAGGTCGTTGGAATGCCTAATAAGGACTAAAAAGTAAAAGTTTTACATTTGTCATTTCATTTGACATTTCATACCTGTGATGACCACGTTTTTACTGTAGTCATGTTAAACTTGACCATTTTAAGACTATATTCAATATGACGTCATTGTTTTTGATTTATATCAGTGTAGTCAATCATATTCAAGACCTAATATCTGATTTAAAATCGCCTCAATTTGATTAATAAAATCAATAAACAATTTCAATCTAACCTATCTAAGCTTAATTAGGCATTCCAACGACCTGTCCAAATGGCTACCAGTGGGTACTGACAGTTTAGATATGGCAACCCTGTTGTCATGTTGTCATTAACAGGGTCAATGATACATATATGTTATATACATTGCTCAAAGCTGGTCGTTTGCGAGCAGCCATATTGCCTGACAAATATTTATTAATTTGAATCACTTTAGCAAAAATGTGTTTTAAAACCAATTTTCAGACTTTAGATATTTAAAAAATAATAACTGCTTATATTTTTACTTCAAGGCATAAGCTTATGTTTATTTTAAAAAATAGGGATGATCAATCTATGTAACTATCTATTTCACTCACCTTGTCAAATCACCAGGCCTATAGAGTTGCCATAACTTTGCCACATCATAACCTGTCAAAACCCACTGGTAGTCATTCAGTTTGGAATGCCTAATTATCTGCAGCAGAAACTCGCAGAAATACATGTTTTACATTCAAAATTAATTGTCATATCTAGAAAACTCTGGTGTATTTAGCATTATTGGTGGTACTAACAGTATTTTTCTTACTTCTAACTATACCTACACATTTTTCTTTTCCTTTTTTTATTTTAACATTTGTTCTGTATTTTTATATTTTCTTATTATTTCTTTTTATTTTAAATATTTGTAAACCACCTGGTTTGTTTCATCATGGTTATTACCTTAAAATAGATAATATTTTTCCATAGCTGCCAACATAAATAATATATACATATAAGTGTCACTTAGTTTTTTCAATCGTCACCATCGTATCACAAAACATCAATCATAATCCCATAAACTCAAGGCACTATGAATAGCAAAATTTTAGTAAAATATTAACATATCAAACATAAAATTTCAAATTATCCAGTAGAATGAATCCCAAAAATAGAAACGATTCATCAAATTATAAGTGTAACTGTGAAGAACCGATTATTCTTGAGAAAAGCCAGCTGAATACCGGTATTGATCATGTTAATAACATACCTACAAACGAACCAAATAATATTGATAAATCTTCGTGTATACCGTCATACCCAACAGATTATTCAGAATCTGGTTGCCCAACGCAATGTTTATCATGTCCAGGAATAAGCTACACAAAGAAAATAAAAAATTATCCTATACCATCTGGTCGCCTTATATGTCAATCAATATCATATCCAAATACACCTAAAAAACTAAATGCAACATACTGTTCTGAAGAAAACTCTCCTGTTCCATTTAAACGAATATCTCAAGCAAGAAGTTGCGTACCCCAAAGAAGATCATGCCGTGTTCTGCGCCATTGCCCTCCACCAAATTTTACGATATTTTGCTATGCTGTTTCATCTTGCCCAACTCGCCTACCACCATCATGTTGTGGTTGCGCTAATTTACCGATGGGAACGATAGGGCCTATACCTTGTCCTTTACCACCATGTCCACCTTGTCCACCACCAGCGTTACCACCATGTGCGCGACCATGTAAGCCACCATGCTGTCCACCATGTCCTCCTCCTGCATTACCACCTTGTGCGAAACCATGTAAACCTCCATGTTGCCCACCCTGTCCTCCACCTGCCTTACCACCTTGTGCGAAACCATGTAAACCTCCTTGTTGTCCTCCTTGCCCTCCTCCTGCCTTACCACCATGTGCAAAACCATGCAAACCTCCATGTTGTCCACCATGTCCCCCACCCGCTTTACCTCCATGTGCAAAGCCATGCAAACCTCCTTGTTGCCCTCCTTGTCCTCCTCCTGCATTACCACCATGTGCGAAACCATGTAAACCTCCTTGTTGTCCACCATGTCCTCCTCCTGCATTACCACCCTGTGCAAAACCGTGCAAACCTCCATGTTGTCCACCATGTCCCCCACCAGCTTTACCTCCATGTGCAAAGCCATGCAAACCTCCTTGTTGCCCTCCTTGTCCTCCTCCTGCATTACCACCATGTGCGAAACCATGTAAACCTCCCTGTTGTCCACCATGTCCTCCACCTGCATTGCCACCTTGTGCGAAACCATGTAAACCTCCATGTTGTCCACCATGTCCTCCTCCTGCATTACCACCTTGTTCAAAACCATGTAAACCTCCTTGTTGCCCACCATGTCCCCCACCAGCTTTACCGCCATGCGCAAAACCATGCAAACCTCCATGTTGTCCACCATGTCCTCCTCCTGCATTACCACCTTGTGCAAAACCATGTAAACCTCCTTGTTGCCCACCATGTCCCCCATCGGCTCTACCGCCATGTGCAAAACCATGTAAACCTCCTTGTTGTTCACCATGTCCTCCACCTGCATTGCCTCCTTGTGCAAAACCATGCAAACCACCTTGTTGTCCACCATGTCCTCCACCTGCATTGCCTCCTTGTGCAAAACCATGCAAACCGCCTTGTTGTCCACCATGTCCTCCTCCTGCATTACCACCCTGTGCGAAACCTTGTAAACCTCCTTGTTGCCCACCATGTCCTCCTCCTGCATTACCACCTTGTGCAAAACCATGTAAACCTCCATGTTGTCCACCATGTCCTCCTCCTGCATTACCACCTTGTGCAAAACCATGTAAACCTCCTTGTTGCCCACCATGTCCTCCACCTGCATTGCCACCTTGTGCGAAACCATGTAAACCTCCATGTTGTCCACCATGTCCTCCTCCTGCATTACCACCTTGTGCAAAACCATGTAAACCTCCTTGTTGCCCACCATGTCCCCCATCGGCTCTACCGCCATGTGCAAAACCATGCAAACCTCCATGCTGTCCACCGTGTCCTCCACCAGCGTTACCACCTTGTGCGAAACCATGTAAACCTCCTTGTTGCCCACCATGTCCTCCACCTGCATTGCCACCTTGTGCAAAACCATGTAAACCTCCATGTTGTCCACCATGTCCTCCTTCTGCATTACCACCATGTGCAAAACCATGCAAACCTCCATGTTGCCCACCGTGTCCTCCGCCAGCCTTGCCACCATGCGCAAAACCATGTAAACCTCCGTGCTGTCCACCATGTCCTCCGCCGGCTTTACCACCGTGTGCAAAACCATGCAAACCTCCATGTTGTCCACCATGTCCTCCACCGGCTTTACCGCCATGCGCAAAGCCATGCAAACCTCCGTGTTGCCCGCCGTGCCCTCCTCCTGCTTTACCACCGTGTGCTAAACCCTGTAAACCACCATGTTGTCCACCATGTCCCCCACCAGCTCTACCGCCATGTGCAAAACCATGTAAACCTCCATGTTGTGCGCCATGTCCACCTCCAGCTTTACCACCATGTGCAAAGCCATGTAAGCCTCCATGTTGTCCGCCATGTCCTCCACCGGCTTTACCGCCTTGTGCCAGACCATGCAAACCTCCATGCTGTCCACCTTGCCCCCCTCCTTCGTTACCGCCATGTGCAAAACCTTGCAAACCTCCATGTTGCCCACCATGTCCCCCTCCTGCATTGCCTCCTTGTTCAAAACCATGTAAACCACCATGTTGTGCACCTTGCCCTCCACCTGCTTTACCACCATGCGCACGACCTTGTAAGCCACCAGCTTGCCCTCCTTGTCCCCCTCCTGCTTTACCACCGTGCGCCCGTCCTTGTAAACCTCCCGCTTGCCCTCCATGTCCTCCTCCAGCTTTACCTCCTTGCTCGAGACCATGTAAACCAGCAGCGTGTGGTCCTTTGCCTCCATGTCTCGCACCTCCATGTCCGCCATGTTAAACGAGATTGAATTTAGCAATTTAATTTTGAACTTTCTATTTGATTACTGACAGAATAAAAAATAATAATTTATCGATATTTAATTTAAAAAAAAAAAATACTAAAAAAATTAATTTTATTGCTTTACAAGATTACCATCTATCTACTAATTTGAAAAATATATACAGTAGATATAGGAAGTTAGGTTGGGTACAAAACTAATAATAAATGTTTAAAAAATAATCTTCCTGACAAACATTCAATTTTTAGACATTGTAACTGCATGATTTTTATTAATTAGAACCGCAAACGATGAGCAACATTCTATGGTCCGGCTGCTATGACGTCACTCACAGAGTGATTTTTATTTGTTTGTCAAAATAAAGACTGCCCACAATGCGCTACATCTTATCTTTAGGTGGGTATATCGTGGAAGGTATTACTATATCAATTTTTTTTACTGGAATTTTAAAAATTTTATGGATCCAAAGTGTCTTTTTACAGCTTTTTACGACGAAACTAATTTACAACTAATATAAACATCTTCATTTACTTTTGATTCTAAAAACTTATTTTTATGAATACTCTTGATTTTAAGTTGCACATATTCAACAAAAAATTGCAAGGTGCAACAAAAATTATAAATATATGATTTTTCTTAACAGCGTATATAGGTACAGGGTGTTCCATTAAAATTAGAACATAGAACAACTGATTGTCTAATTAAATATAAGACGAATAAACGAAACATGCTTACGTAAAATATTACTCGCTTTCGAAATACAGGGTGTTAAAGTTGATAATTCGAATAAAAATTTAAAATTAACGGGTATAATAATTTTATAACTCAGTAAAATTTTATTAAATTCGGTAAACGTTTTTGATGTCATAAGATACACCTATCGCAAAAAATAGGTTAAATAAAGTTTACCAGTGGCGTATGGCATGGGTAAGTAATACCTTCATCTCCTCTAAATTTTACGCACTGTCCAAAAACGTATTCGGACTATAATTTTAAATGTTTTCTTAAATAAATTATGTAATCTTGTTCAAAACTTATAAAAAAATAAAAATTTCAAAATTTCAGAAATTCAAAATAAATTATAATAAAAAGCATCCACCTTTGTGTGAGAATATCTTTTAAGAATTTGCGCATGAGTAATAGCGATCATCAATAACGAGAAAGGTATATTATAAAATATTGTTACACAGATTTTTGGTATCGCATTTTATTTCAACTCAACTTTAACAACAATTATGCAACTGATAGCATTAACATGTAATGTGTATCATAAAAACTGAAAACTGACGTCAGGATCATTCTTATATAGCTTGCTTGCTTCTCGAACCTTCTCGAATTGTCGTCTAGAATATTCTTGACGGGTAATGACATTTTCAGACATTTCCGGAATATTCTATCTTCTTTTACTTGTACTTTTACTTATGACGACCGCAGCACACTGTAGGGCGATGAGTAACATTCCACTTCTTTTTCTATTTGTACGTTTCCTATAATAGCCGCAGGCTACTGTGAAGAATGATTGATAAATTATAGATTTCACCCCGTAGAAATATGATGTCAAAACGAAAATGTCTGCTTGGCAGATATAATTTACTGATTTGTCACTAAAAATAATTTATGTACTATTATTATTTAAAATAGTTTTAATAGTATCGTTTGTTAGGTTTCTTCCTTCCAGTTAGGGGAAATCGAATTTGAGTATAAATTCACCTTATGTAAATGGACATATTGTGTAGCCAATAAAGTAATTTTCTTAAATTTGGCGTACTCATTTGGCCTCCAGTAAACTGGATTGATTATTTGGAATTCCTAACAAAGCTCAAATTCGACGGTCTACGAAGATGGTTCCAACTGCCGTTGGAAGAACCAAACGAGGCCACTGTCCAATTTGTAACAAACAGTATAGAGATGAAAATATGGCTGAATGTGCTAATTGCAAGAAAAGGTTCTGTTACGAATGCGTAAACGTAACTGATGAAGATAATGAATCATGGTTATGTCCAAATTGCGCCACAGATCCTAATCAGCAACATGTAGTACAACCTTCTATAGCAGCATTAACTCCAACTTTAATAGCTCCACAAAATCCTTCTTCCTCTTCAACTAAATCTTCCTCAAAACATACATTTATTGCTAGGAGCAAGAAAAACTCAACATCTAGCAGTAAGCGTAAATTAAAGTTACAACTTATACAGGAAGAACTTAATTTAATAAGAAAAGAGAGGGAGTTAACTAAAGAAGCTCGTCTCTTAATCGAAGAATCCGACGACAGTCAAGATATTGATGATGAAGAGGTTCGAGCAGCAGATCCAGCAATAAATATTCTATTATCGCAACAGATCGAACAAGGTATTAAAATAAACCCTGCTCATACATTGGATATGTGCAAACCTATTCAGAAAGATCCTTCTAAATATCCAACCCATCAAAAAACTGAAATCGAAATCCCAGAGAGGTTAAATATGGGAAAGAAAGGACTCAATGATTATCTTTCATATGAAGCATTAGATCAAAATACTTTAACTCCGCAAGAATGTGCTGCCAGAAGAAGTATACAGAAAGAACTGCCCTCCTTTAGTGGAAATACTTTTGAATGGCCTTTATTTATTAGTAGTTATAAAAGGTCTACTCAATTATGTGGGTATGATAATAACGAAAACTTGTTAAGACTACAAAAGAGTCTTAAAGGTACGGCTAAGTCCGCAGTATTCAGTCTTCTTACAGTTCCAGAATATGTTCCACAAATTATTTCAACGCTGGAAATGTTATTTGGAAGACCTGAACAGATAATAAACGCTCACATAAACTCTATTCGTCAAAAACCCCCGCCTAAGTCCGAAAAAATAGAAACAGTAGAATATGCTTTATCAATAAAAAATTTATGCGTGTCTTTAGAAAATTCCAATATGAGTGCTTACCTAAATAATCCTACACTGATGTTTGAGCTGGTTGAAAAACTTCCACCTCAAACTAAAATCAATTGGGCTATTTATCGTAGCACTTTATGTAATTTTAATGGGCTTAAAGACTTTGGGGATTGGATGTACAATATTGCCATGAATGTATGCACGGCTTTGCCATCTCTTGCTGTCATGGACCGTGACCGTGGTAAGTCAAATCGTCAAAATGAGCGATCTTATCAGCATTCAACAGAATCTGCGAATCAACAGAGGATCTGTAAAATTTGTAGTGGAAATTGTATACAAATAACAGATTGCAAGACCTTCCAAGAATATCCTATTTCAGATAAATGGAAATGTGTCAGAGATCTAAAATTATGCAGATTATGTCTAAAAAGACACAGATTTCCCTGTAAATACCCAGTCAAATGCAACAAAGATGGGTGCCAAAGGAAACATTATCCAAAATTGCATAAAGACATAGAGTCACAGCCTTCAACTACAAATAGCAATTCAACCACGCAATCTCAGCAAGAAGTTAATGTAAATCTTGAAAACAATCAGTCAATTCGTTTTCGTATACTACCCGTCAGGTTAACAAATGGTAATGAAGAAGTCTTGACATATGCTTTCATGGATGAAGGGTCTTCAATAACTATGCTTGATGAAACCATTGCTGAAGAATTAGGTGTGTGTGGTGAGTATGAACCTTTATGTCTTAAATGGACAGGAGATCAAGAGCGATTAGAGGAGAAATCTCAAAGAATCCTCTATACGATCTCCGGAGATTTCCCAGGGGCACGCCGACATGAAAATCGTTCTGCACGTACGGTTAAAAACCTCCATCTCCCTAAGCAAAGCCTAGATGCTGCAAAGCTGGTCAAAGGGTACCCATATCTTAAGAATGTTCCTATAAAATCGTATAAAAATGTAACACCTAGATTGCTTATTGGTCTAGATAACTGGGAACTTGCTCTGCCACTAAAAGTTAAGGAAGGAGAGCTGCAAAATGTCGACTCGGATGGACGGCATTCGCTCTACATAACCAAAGACACATTAATACGGAAAACATTTATCATATTTGCGAATGCAATGACACACATATAAGTAACCAAGACCTACATGAACTAATAAAAAAATACTTCTGCGTAGAAAGCCTTGGTGTTACTGCACCAGCAAATGCTTTGGTATCTAAAGAATTAAAAAGAGCAACTGAAATTATGGAGTCAACAATAAAACAAGTTGAGAACCATTATGAAATTGGATTAATTTGGAAATACGATAACCTAAAGTTACCTCACAGCAGTCCCATGGCTATTCGGCGTCTGAAGTGTATCGAGCAAAGAAAAGATTCTAACCCAAAGTTAGCCATCCAAATAAATCAACAAATCACAGACTTTATTGAGAAAGGGTATATTAGGAAACTGACGGCTCAAGAACTGGCGGAGCCACATAAACGAATTTGGTATCTTCCCATATTTCCCACTTTTAACCCTAATAAGCCAGGTAAATTTAGGATAGTTTGGGATGCTGCGGCGAAGGTTGATGGAATTTCTCTCAATTCCATGCTTTTGAAAGGTGATGATCAGCTAGGTTCATTATTGGGAATACTCTTCCGATTTCGTGAACGAAAAATAGGATTTAGTGCTGATATTAAGGAAATGTTCCTTCGTGTAGGAATTAGAAGCGAAGATCAACATGCCCAGCGTTTCTACTGGCGAAATAAGAAAAGTGAACCTTTAGATACCTACATCATGACTGTCATGACTTTTGGAGCAACATGTTCTCCAAGTTGTCCACAATTTGTAAAAAATTTTAATGCTCGAAAATTTATTGATCAGTATCCAAGAGCTGTTAAGTCTATCATAGAAAATCATTACGTCGATGATTTATTAGACACAGCTGACACTCTGCAAGAAGCCCTTAACATAGCTGAGGAAGTTAAATTTATACATTCTAAAGGCAATTTTGAAATTCGAAACTGGCGTTCTAATTCTGAACAGTTTATGCAAATAATGAATTCATCGTCTGAAACTCCTACTAAAATAAATATGAATATAGAATCTAACGAAACCAATGAAAAGGTTTAAGGGATGTGG